TAAAGCTACGATCATTTTAGGTTCATTTGAAATTTTTGGGTCTGAAGAAGTCTATTTCAAGAAAATAGATGAATTTTCTATAATATGACAACATCATGAGAACTCAGCTTTTCTCGAATAAAAGACTCGAACTTGAAAATTCCGCCAAACTTCCTACAGATTCGGATTTCAGGACCCCATAAACCTGTAGCCTATTTTTATAAAAATCAACTATTGGATTGAAATAGTTTCCTTAATCGAAAAAAAATTGAAATCAATTCAAGATCATCGTTAGTCTATACTTACATGTTAAGACCGACGCACCGTCATAATTTGATCGTATGTAACATATTCTAAAGAAACTTGTGGTTCAAAAGAACTAGTTCTAGCACTCTCAATGTACCGGATCTGAAACGACAAGAAAAACTTGTTCGAAGTGGAACTGAAAATTCTAGTCTCATTGTATATGATTTTTAGCGACTTAGGTTGTCAGTCATACCAAATCAAAGGAAAATTCAGAAGAGAGGACCAAACACATGACATTCGTCGGGTGAATTCATCACAACATAATTATTAAAAACTTTTTTAGATTTAATGCCAACAAATTTTAGAATAGCTTTCTCTAAACTAGGACTAGAAACAGACTACATTTAACAAGATTATGAGTGGTACTATTCACAAAAAGAAGTTACCAGAACTGAAAAAAAGCATAGTATCGCTCTTTTCTGAATATGAGATTGTTCAATAAAATCCTACCCATTGTGCATATTTATTCGAATTATTTATGGTGAATATTACATCAAATGGCTTACCTGCTGCTGCTGTCCAGTTCGAATCACAAGCTGAGTAGACGTCAATAAAACAAATTTAAACGTTTGAATCCATAATATGAGCCAGTAGATGTAAAAAAAAAGAGAAATTTTTTTTCCATCAGAAAACTTGATTTTCGTCAAAAAAATGATCTTTGAGATAACCATATGAACATATTGCCTGAATTGCCTGCTGTACGAATTTATAAAAATAGCTTTGATTCTCGAAGATTATTAAGACTTTTATGAATAATCTTTGAAACTATCTGAACAAACAATGATGTCTAGAGCAATCAGTAAAATTTGTTGGCAGAGTTAGGTCTGCAAAATAAACAAATATTTTCAGAGATAATCAGATCTTGCCCATTTTAGAGACACACTTTTCAGATGAACAATGACATGAGGATGGAAATCTTCTCTTTATCCGCATCTACAAGCAAATTAAAATAATTAATTTATTATTCTGCTATCTTTATGATATTGTTGATTGATATATATGCAATATTAGAGGCAATAATAGATAGCACCATCTATCGTAATCTACACCCTACAAGGGTAATATAATGTATCTACACAATTGTTTCCATTGACATGTAATATATTTATGCTTCACCGCTATTTGAAGTAATAATAGCAAGTCTGTATGAACAACAAAAACTTCTTCTTGCGTTTTTCTCCGAATTGATTTTTTCGTTAATGATCGAACTGTGGACTAGTTTTTCCCAATATATTACCTTCTGGAAAGTTGCTTTGTCGTTTTTATTGACAAAGATATTTCGTGCATAGTGCGTCAGATAAAGCAAATGAACTTTCTAGTTAATCATCAATACTAGGTAAACCTTGAGGTTTGAAGAAAGCCATGCCTATAATTCCAAGATTTTTCAATTTTTGATGAGCAGAAAAACAAAATAGAGTAAAAATTTCAAAAAAATCCTTCCCTCATCCGAACTGGTAAGTAGTTCCCTTTTCAACGAAAGTAATTCGAGCTCTGCAGCTTAGTTCACGGGAATACCTTGAACGACAAAGCATAGATGCGTCAAGTTTTTTTTTATTATTAAAATAGTTTTATGAGTTAAATATTTATGGAAGGTTACATCAATATCTCATATACTCTGTCAAAGTTAGATTTTCTAAGGAAAGGTGCCCTTACAAACTGAATCGTTACACAACAGTCATTATCACAAAGGATTGTTAGTATAAAATGAAAGTAAGTTTGTTCTAAGGTCAAACATCGATTGGTTCATTATTGGAACATACGGTTGATTTTTCTGCTGGATAACCTTTATTGAAACTTTCTAAAAACAAAATAGTTGTTTGCTTTCAACAATTAAAGCAATATGCGTTTATTAAATTTGTAAAGATACATTCATCAACCATAATCGATTAAAATTGCATTCCATAAACCTTCATAGAATAAAAAATTCTTTTTTTTTCATCTAGATGACGCTAATATCATTGACATTAATAGAGCGACATATTTAAATAAAAGAATTTCTTTCCAATAATTTTTTTTTTCTTTTTTACTTTTAGAGAATCTTAAATATATTTACAAATGAATAATATATGTTATATAGAGTGTTAAATAGTTGTTAATATCCAATAAAAATGATAAAGAAATAAGTGACTGATGATGCCTTGGCAGTTCTTCGTCTTTTCATCACTATCATTTGATATGGCAAACATATTCTTGTATGTTTATTTATTTTATATCGTTCTCTAAATAACGATTAAATCTGTTAAATATGTTTTGATTATCATAATAATATATTTCTGCTTTCTTTCAGATGAATAAACTTTATTTTAGTGATGATTAATTTCAAAAATGGATCAAGAACGGTAAAATAAAAAAAAAAAAATCAATTCAGTTTTTTATTCTAAAATTTTCAATTATGTTTATAAATGTTGTTTTGTGTATAGTGTGTTTTCGTATTTGATTGATTCCGATTTACCTAATGGTTTGTGTTAGATTTTTTTTTTGTTCTTATGTTTTACCTTTTGATTATTGATTTCTTCTTTTATTTTGTAGGACTTGAACAAAGAAATGTTATTATTCAAAGAGATCGTTATGGATATGGTCTAACAGTTTCAGGCGATAATCCTGTTTTTGTATTAAGTGTACGAGAAGGTGGTGCTGCTCATCGAGCTGGAATTAATACGAATGATCAAATAATAAAGGTAAAATGATGAAAAATATTGATGATTGTTATTATTATTTGAATCCATAGAAAAAGCTTTGTTGAAGTTTCATAATTGAAACTAATTTGATAGTTGTAAATAGTAACACATGTTGCTTTACTAAAACGAATAATGCTCAAAAATGAATAATTGTCTTTGCCAGATACATTAAAAAGATGATAGAATTATGTTTTTTTGTTGGCTTATGAATAGTTGAACATCCATTAAACATTTTTGATTTAATTATTCTTCATTCATAGTGTTTCTTTTCTTGAAAATAAACAGATCAAGATTATAACAAAGAAATATGATGATCATGATTACCTTCATAAATGTTTTCTTTTTAATTTTTGCATTTATGCACGTTCTTTTCATTCACTGATATTAATATCAACATACTCGAATTTTTTTCAATAGAATTAGCATATTATTTTGAAGAACAATATTCAATATTGTTTGGATTAATTTTATCATAGAACTAAATGTCATTGTTTGTCGTTCTTTTTTTCTAACATTTAGTAAAAATTATGGAGATAATTTGCTCGAACAAACAAGTGTTTGATTAATGACTTAAAAGAAAACAGTCGATGAATAGTTTTGTACAAAATGAGTTGTGTTTTGTTTGCTTACCAAATCGTTCCGGATGAATACAAGTAGAAAATAATGCACCTGTTTTATATAGAATAAATTGGACACATGTTATCTATTTTTTCATGCATCATGTATTTTGATTGATTCATTTATCGAATAAAAGTCAAAAGGAATGTATATACATACATACATGTAAAAATATAATCCACTTCTTTTGATAATAGAAAAATACTTAAATAGCAAAGAATGTTATTTTATTGTGCCAATTCAATATTGAAATCATGATACATCAATTTCATGAACAAAAAATCATATACTTAATTTTATAAACGATTGTAAAATGAATTCGTTTTTGTTTTTTGAATTAAATAAAAGATTCAATATTAAAATTAATACAAAAGAAAACTCTTCTAACTTTTTTAAGATATGAAAATTTTATTTTTATTTTTTTCAACTTTCTTTCAGGTCAATGGTACGCGTGTAACGCATTGTACACATATTGATGTAGTCAATCTTATCAAATGTAAGTTTGTTTGTATTTTTTTTTATAAATAAGAAAAACAGAGTAGTTGTAGAAATCGGTTCTTTTTTTTTTCTGAGAATTTGAAGCTTCGTATATATGAATGTTTTAATAAAGAACATATAAAGTATATACGCTTGATCAGTTAGTGGTCAATCAATCTTTGTCTTGAATGATTTTTCAATGTGTTGATAACATTACATTATATATTGCCAGATGAATTATTTATTTTTCTCTTTGACCTTGATGAATCAGATGTTATTGACATGGACTAAAAGGTTTCTATGTTAATTAACTAATTATATATCTTCCATTAAGTTAATTTTTCATCGATTTAATAAGGACATACTTATTAGTTTTCTTTTATTAAACTAATATATATATATATATATTTATTAAGACCTTTCAAAAGAAAGAAAAAATAAGATACTATATATCAAGTTTTTGTTAGTTTTTTCCAACTGTTTATATTTTCTGTCTTAATTGAGAAAAAATACTCAAATCAATTTTTTTCTATGCATACTATACTTATATACATGCATAAATCAATCCGAGAAATTCTTCTTCTACTCTGTTTGTATATATATATATATCAAATGGGAGGAGAGAGCCTTGATGGTATGTTTCTTCCTTTCTCGTTTGGCATCGTCATTATAGATAATTTCTTTTGTTAGACATACGAACCATATGCTCCGGCAATGTTTTTGTGTATTGAAGATTAATAATTTATCATTCTGAAGATAACATACTGATATATTGTGCCAAAAAAGAAAAAAGCTACCTTCGAGCAGAATGATGCCTTAATATTGAACATCATTCCTACGTCTTATTCGGTACATCACGAAGCAATTGATTGAAAAAAATATTCAATCATTTGTTTCAAAGAGTTTTAGATTTTTTTTTTTTGAGATTAAAAGTAAAGTAAAATGTCCACTACACTATCGGTACGTATACCAGCGGGTAAATTAGGCACAGTTCGTGTTGATCGAACAGTCGATATCTATCCAACTTCACTAATAAATGATGAAAATATATCGTATGCAAAATCATATATTCCAAAATTAAAATCACAACGTCAATTAACAGCAACATCAACGCCATTGATTATTACAAATCCTCAAGATGAATGTAGTTATATTCCAATAATAAAATCAAATAATCAGAGTGATCCTAATGATGAAGATATATCTGATATAGCTGTTATTTATTCACTTGTTCGACGTTCATCAATACGTCGAACATCATCACCAAGATTATCTGTTTTACCATTATCAGTAAATTTTAATATTTCTCGACCATATATAGCTAAAACTTATACATTAGAACCACCATTAACTCCTACCGTATCTCATGTATCGAAACAAGCACAAATAAAAACATTATCATCAAAACTTTCGACTAGTAATTTTCTTTCAATATCTACATCATCTTCGACAGAAGTAAGTTCATCAACTCGTATTCAAACATCAACATCATTTACAAGAAGTGATCGACCATTAGCACCATCAGTTTCTATAAAACCTCGACCATATTCATTTCGAAATACAGGGCGTAGTGCTCTTGAACGACAAATATCAAATATAACAGAACGTGTAGCACAATTACAAGAAACATTTTTTTCTCGTCGATCAAATACATCTAATCATCAACGAAATCGTTCATTATCAAATTTTCAATCAACAATAATTAGTACAAATATACATGAATATAATAGATCACATATACGTTTGATCAGACCACGACCGAAATCAGAAACTTATGATAATCATCGTCGTATTAATTCAGGTAAAAAATATCGTGCATCACAATGATCATCATATTATAAAATATAATTATATCCTATAAATACTTATCTTAATTGTATTGAATTGATAGACAAAGAAAAGATTGTATAACATATGGAGAAACAAAAAGGCAAAAAAAGATGAGTAGACATATTTTTACTGTCTTAGACATATTGTGCCATTGAATACATGTATTCTTGTTTTGCTACCACTTTGGCATTCAAGATATTAATTTTTCTGTTCCGCTGTTAGCTTTCCGTCTATTATCGTTAGTATGTTGATGGATGTCTAGAAAAAAAAGGATTTCTTTACATACATTAGATATCCATTAATCTTTGTCAATTGACTATTTTTTTTCCTTTCAAAAAAAAACGATAAAACTTTATCTTAAAAATCAAAATTCTTTATTTAGCTGGTTCGTATGCTCAATTAACTCTTCTTGGACAACCAAAAGTAAATTCAATATCACAAACACAGAAAACAATTCCAGTTGATTATCAAAATGGTCGTGTACAATATCGAACACAAACTTCAAATCCTGAAAGACCACATAGTACAATTAGTTCAAACTCATTACAAACAGTATTTGATACAAAAAGAACACGTGATAGTTATGAAAAACTCCTGAAACAATTAGAAGTATTAATGTGTTTTTATAAATTTTATTTCTAAGATATAATATTTTTTTATTCTCAAGATCTCAAGAAAAGAACTTGATCGTCAACGATCAAAGGGTCTTAATCATCATCCGGCAAGAATTTTACAACTTGAAAGTCAAATAAAACAATATGAACAACAATTAAACAAATTTAAACCTTATTTAGATTCCATTGACGTAAGAAAAATTCTTTTCTTTAAACATGAAATATTTAAATTTCATTTAGGTATTCACCGATCCATCATCAAATATATATGATGATAATGTTATTACTCGACCACAGACGTTCATTGAATCATCTACAAATCGACTAAGCACAGTAAGTAAACAAAAGAAAAAAAATAGAATAACAAACCAAAAAATTAAATTAAATTAAAAATTTATCTTCGAAAGTCATTGCTCTCCTTACCCCCACATATATTTCTCTAGCAATCTCATGGCAATAGTGGTCACAAGAAACAGAATTCATTACCTGAATCAGCAGTATTACAAGTTATGACAGGCATTTCGCCTTCAACTTCTGTCAGTTCGCCGTTACATCATATTAAACGTAAATTTCACGGTGGAAAAACGGACGCATATGACCTTGTAAAGGTAAAAAGATCAATAATTTGGGCATACACAAAAACTATTATACACTGATTCTCCTTGTTTATAAATAAAAATGCACAGAATTTGTTCTTGCGTAGTTCTAATGTACAATCGCTTTTTTTATGACTCACACACGCGTACATTCTACTTCTACTGCTAATAATTATTTCTTTTTATCATTTCTATTCCTTTGAAATTCATTTATGATTTTTCTTTTTTATTTAGAATTGGGATTCGTTGAATAGTATTCCAACAGATGAAACATTTAAACTTCGTGTATGTATTCTTGAATGACTCAAAAAGAATGATATAAGTTCAATGCTTTAAAAATAATACGTTCATCATCGTGATGCTTTCAACATTTTTCTACTTGACTAGCCTAGATTAGCAAAGATTTAAAAATATGAAATATAAACGAAAGGATAAACTGTGATTTAAGATAAAATGTGAGTTGTTTGTCAGTAAAACATCTTGAACAGTTTTAATAGCTCAATAATGATATCCAATGAATCTAAGGCAATAATGTAAATTCAATTACTCTTTGATATGGATGACAAATTTTCGAAAATCTCTAGATGAAATATGAATTTAATTCGGTATAAAGATATTAGAGAGAACAGTATAATGAAAAAGCTTCAATGATTGCACTAAGACATTCACAAGTTCAAGATCATATCATGTACTACTATTCATATATATATATATACGTATTAGTTGAAAACAACATTGAACTCGACTATTAAACGACATTAGTTACTCGAAGTGATTTTTTTGTTGCTGCCACAGAAAATCTCCACACTCATATGAGTTAGATTAGTCTTATTAAGATTTGTACATGAGAGTAATACCGTGTCAAAAGCGAGCTTTTACCGAGGAGATTTTCTCATTAAGGTTTGAAGTAGGATAGACATTGACAGGAAGAAAAAAAAACATAATTGATGGATGATGCAAGGATAAATATAACTAGATCTGATAATCGACTCATATTTGTCCTTATAGAAATCAATTAAAGCTAAACATCCAAATATAGAAATAGTACAGTTCTCAGCTTCGGTTGGGCTCTTAGCTAAATTGATGTAATTTAGATGAGAATCTAGATATGTAGAGCAAGAAAAGTAAACTAACGTGAGAATTACTATAACTAACACTTGCTATTTGAACTGATGCTGAGTCTACAAAGTGGTCTCAGAAAGACTAGATAAAAACCTAAAAGGATTCATTTTCATGGGCTTTTTGAGCCTGACTATGGCTATTCTAATGAGTTTTCAACATATTTTTCGAGGTATTTATTAGTAAATCAAATGACTAGAGTTCGGTCTAAAACATGCCCATAGATATGTCTGATGATCTTGAGGATGTCCTGAAAGTTTCAGCTTAAAAAAATGTTCTTTTGTTGAAACATTGAATTTTCAAAAATTAGTCATTTGCGATAGATACATCAGAAAAATATAATTTACTTGAAAATGTAATATTTCAATAAAGGAACATTCTTTTCGACTACAACTTTCAGAATCTTCTGAAAATCGTTATACCTAACAATGTGCATAATTTTCAATCAAAAATTTTCTATTTCTTTTTTCTATTAAATATGTGAAAATTGGGTTAAACAATGACATAATATAGCCATAACTCGACTTGCAAAAGCTCATGGAGATGAACCCTTTTGAGGCTTTCTTCATTTTCGATAATATGAGTCCGCAAATTTTTATTTGTGTCTTGACATATGCATGTTTCAGGCAGTACATTCTATATTCAACTGTGATGACAAGATGTCTAAAAAATACTAGACACAGTAGTCATTTTCTTTAATCTTCTCTTAAAACATTAAAAGTATCACAAAGATCGGAAAAGGGCATTTTTTAATCGATTCTTTCGTAAATGTCGGTTTTGTTTTGTGATACTTTTAACTTTTTGAGGGAAGGTCGGACCTGAGAACTACTGTATCGAATTTTTTAGAAATGTTGTCATCATAGTTCATCTATGAAATTGTAGTCAAAGAAAACTCTATTATCCATAAAAAGTTACTATCTAGGTTTGAGCTAACAACTAAATATTGTAGAAAAAAAAAGTCGAAAATATTTTGTTGTTCAATTTTTTCCGGTCATCCTACGTAGTTTGATTGTCCAGTGTTGGGTTTTGAAAAAGACCGACATTTTCTTCAATTTTATTAAAGTTTTGAATAAAAATCGAAACTAAGTCCATTTCTGTTCACCAGTTCTTACTTTGTATACTCTAGAAGACTTTCTAAGTAAATTCTTAAAAATGATCACAATGTTATTAGATCATTCATTAGCTATTCTTTGTTCTTTTTAGGAATCATATGAAATCGATGATGATAATTCTCATACACTATCATCAAATGTTCAATCAATATCATCATTTGATGATATTCAACAATCAATAAACACATCGAATTGGATACCATTAACTATTTTTCTTAATTTTCTACTCAATGATACAAACAGTGATCCAAGTCATTTAGTAATTATTTTATTTCTTTTTTGACGTAATGACAATTTTATTTAATACTTTTAGTTATTTTACATAATAACTGAAGATTTACGTATAAGAAAATATGATAATCGTAATGAATTAATTCGATGGATATTTGAAATTCATTCAACATTTACAATGAATGCTAGTGTAAATTATCCATTCACAATCCTAAATAAAATCTTGTATTGGTATCTTTTTATTTTTTTTATAGCCTTTATATATTGGCCTTCCTCAATCACAAACAGACGCTATTAATCGATGGTTAGATATTCATCAACAAGAAACAACTGAGGATATAAAAAATATTTTTAATGATGCAAGAGATCATGCAAAATCAATAATAACTGATCGACAAATAATAGATTTTAATCATAAACGAAATATTAATATAAATAATGATTTAAATTTAAAACAAAGTCATTTTATTGAAGAAAATTTACGATCAACATTTGAATATCATTATAAATCATCATATATTGATGATTGGAACAGTATAAAAAATGCTCGTAGTATTGCATTAATATGTGCATTAGCAACATATTTGAAACGTTGTGATATTAAAAAATGTGGAAACATTCCATTAGAAAAAATTCCGAAATTTCTCGATAAAGAACAAAAACGTTTATTAGCAAAATTACAACGAACAACACCTATAAAAAAAGTATTTATTAAAATTAAATTGAACGTAAACCAAAAAGAAAAAGCTAAAAAAACTTTCGTTTTTAGATTAAAGATCATCAATTAAATGAACATCAATTTTTAAATGAAACATTATGTCAAGTTTGTTTTAAACCATTATGGGGAATAAATTATCAAGGATATTTATGTGGATGTAGGAATTTCTTTTAGAAATAAAATTACGATTTATTTGTTTTTCGTTGTGTTATTTCCAAATTTTAGATTGTCAACAAGCATATCATCGTGAATGCGCAGTAAATAGCGAAAGGTGTTCAAAAGATCGAGCAAAATTTCGAAAGTTTTCAAGTAATCGAAATCCATCAAGTAAGCTATTTCATTTTTATTTTGGTTCTTTTTTTGTTTCTTTTACTACGAGATTTTGTTACAGTTGCCTTATATTATTCACTATCAGGATCAGTTTCAGCTGATAATCTTATGCAAAATTTATCTATTATACCTAATTCATCAACACAATCTCGAGGTTTTGTTCGACGTTCTGTTGGTGGAAGTAGTACTCTATTTCATGGAATTATGACGAATATAAACGGTACTTTATCAATGAATATAATTTATGTTTTGTTATATAGGATAATTAATAAAACACATGTAGAATCTTTCGTTTGCTTTTTATTTTGTCTGTCTATCTGTTCTGTGTGATTTTACCACGTCATTCTATATATATACATTTATAATGTTGAAAACAAGTTAATTCGTTATTTTGTTGTATTTATTAGGTCCACCTAGAACTACAAGTATGATTGAAGCACGAGAAGGTAGTGTTTGTAAGTATTAATTTAATTTGAAAGTTATTTCTATATATTGTATATTATACATTGATGGTTATAGCGAATGATATATCTGAAATGATACCCGGTACAAATGAAGGAATTGGTAAGTCGTTTGTAAAACGCGAAAAATCATTCAATAAAATTCGAATGCAAAGAAATTTTTCAATTTGAATGAAACATTCTGATGTTCAGATCTATAACAATATAAACAGATTTATCCTTATATTCTATCTGTTAGAGTGAATCATTAGAAGAAAAAACAAGACAGATGTTAAGTGCAATACTGTCAGATCTCGATTTCATGTTTATTTGTAGTGTATGACAACGATCATAGAAGAATATCTGTCAGAAAGCAATACTAACAAACACAGAACATCTTTAGCAGAAAAGAAAATACAAAGAGAACTCTAACGATCGTGTATGAATGAAGAAGGTAAAAATTATAACAGATAACATCTTTCTGTCATTATACATTTTCCAAACGTATTATTAGATCGTTTTATTTATAAGTACAATCTGCTGCTGATGACATTTAAAAAATGATTTGCTTGATTCGAATGACATAAAATGTTTTTCAATGATTTACAAAAAATTTTTTATTATGAATTTCTCAACGCAAGTTTTGTTGATTACTTTTTTTTATGGAACACGATCTAAAAAGGGGGGTGTTGAAGTTTAGGAGTAGAAGTTTAGACCCACCACCCCCTCACAGTTCGTAATAGACATTGTTGCTATAATGATCACAGGCCGTATATCAATAACTTCTCTTTATAATAATTATATGAACTACGTCCTTATTACTTTTCTGGAGAAGGATGGTAAAGAACTATGCCTCAAAATAGATAGAATCAAACAATCTTCCTGTCATTCGTAGCAACAGTTACATCGTGTTTCATATTTTAATCTCGCAGGAATAGCTATAACAGCTTTTTTCGATAGGAAAAAGAAAAGACTCGTTGAGAACTTTTTATTCTTTATAGATCCAACAGATGGAAATTCATCGTTTGCTGAACAAAATAAAGTTGCAACGTAAATCATAGCAATGAAATAAATTAGAAGAAGAATAATTATATATATTTTTTTTAATTTGAATAGTGTCGGTCGATGTTCTAGTGATCGTCGAGCAGCATCTGATCGACCAACTGCACCGAAAAATCGTTCAAGCAGGTATATATATAAAATCATAAAATTTTTTTTTCAACAATTCGAATCGAATTTATTTCAGTGAAAGCGACGATATTGATGAGGGGTATTGGATTTTATTTAATAATTTTTCTGATCCCACCTGCTATTTTTTATATGCATGATATATCAACTAAGAGAAATAGAGAAAGAGAAACAGGTGACATTGGTCATTACATTATTTACATTTTTCTAAACCCATAAATAATTAGTTTGTAACGTGTCTCAGAATTAAACCTCTAATCCCTATGTTTAATGGTCAGTTAATTTACGCTTTCTTTCTTTTTGTTTTTACTACTCTTTATTAAAATAATTTGCTTGTTTTTTAAATATTATTGATAAAATTTAAAGGTTTTAATTAGCTTTCTCTTTTTTTAGCAATCCACAAATGGGTGGAAATACAATTGATGAAATACTTAGTCATCGTATTGATAGTGATGTTATTAATCAACAGGATGCCACAAGTCAACAGTAAGAAATTTATTTATAATAAATTATTGATAATCGATATAGAATTCAATAACATGTTTTGGAAAAACTGATGTTTTTTTTTTGATAGAATGCTTTTTGCATGAACTAACCAAGAAATTTCACCAAGTCATAACTTTTAAAATGAGTTATATCTTGTTACATAGACTGTACTAACGAGGGAAACCTCCCAAATGATTAATCACCTTTTAGTCGAGACTATTTTCATCATGAACATTCTAGTGGCTATAAAGACTCAAAGAAGAATTTGGGTTCTTAGCGTATTACTGCCGAGATATTTCAGTTTTTACTGTATTTTTGCAGTCAAGGCCGTATCAGAATAGTTTATTGTGAAATTTTCAGCTCATTTCGTTGTTCCTATCCAAAGATACAGTTATAATCAAAGCCTGTCTTTTACTCTACTCATATATACCGTGCAGATATGATGTTCTTGTTTCGGCATAGAAGCAAATCAAACGATCTAAGACTTTCACAATGAATTTTTCTCGCTAAGATTTGTCTATATGCAAAGTTTCAAATCTGGAGTCGAAAATTAATTTTTCTAGTGTGTTCCTAAGAGTACCTCAACATTGATTTAACTACGGTCTACTTGTTTCACATATTCTCAAGTCCAAGGCAAATGTATGATCAATTTAATAAGGCTTAAAAGAAAATATCAGTTTTCCCTGTGAGATGATCTTTAAAATCAACTGGAGAATTCAAATTTTGCACATGAAATTACTTCACTCTAAAAGTATCTGATTTTCCAGTATCTTCGATCTTCCATTACCAATATTGGAAATTCTAGTATGCAGAATTAAAACTTTGTTCTTTTACTTACATCTGAGGATATAGGATACTAGAAAGTTCGATACTTTTACGATGAATGAGTCTGATATGCGAAGTTTGAATTGATAAGTCGATTTTGATGAAAGTCGCAAGAGGAACACAGTATTTTGTTTTAAAATCCATTGTAATATTATGGATTGCAGTGTTTGTCAGAATCCTAGCAAAAGAGTCATTCAAACAAAAACGTCTCTTACATAGTTTTTTTACAAGGCTCTGATGCATCTCACAGTCATAATTCAAGAAACAAATTCATGAAAATGAGTCTTTATAGACTTTCTCAGATTTTAATCGCGTCTAGCTAATAAGATAAGACTCGCCTCAAAATGGATCTATCTGTATTAGTTTTCTTATATTTGACTCTAATTCTAAGCGAAAATGAGGTAATTCATTCTCATATATTGATCGAACTATTCTATGTGCACTCGATTTCATTTATATTCTGACATTTAATTGATTGATATGAATAAAAAATTTCTCTGAAATTTATTTATAGAACCAATTCTATTGGATTTAGTACAAGTCCTTCTGAATCAGTAATTCAACAAACAACAGATGGTGATAGTGATCTTGAAGCTGATGTAAATACTTTACCAAATTTAAGTGAATTTATTCCGAATGATATCCTTCAAATTCTATATCAAACCCGAGAATGGAAATTTCAAACAACAATTAATGAATTAATTCATACTCAACGTACACATTTAAAAAGTTTAAAAATTATGGTTAAATGTTTTCGTGAACCTATGGAACGTTTTCATGGTATGAGTCCAGTTGAACTTGATTGTATATTTCGAAATTTAGATCAACTTATTCATTTACATAGTAAGAATAAATTTATTTTTTATTTATCAATGAAAAACAACTATGTTAATTTTAGCTCAATTTAAATATGCACTTCGTCAACATCGTGAAGAAGCTAAAGATCATGTTGTACGATATATTGGTGACTTAATTCTTAAATTTGTATGAAATTCTTGATTTTTTTTTTATTACATAAAAAGTATATTTTATATCTGGTTTAGCTTGATGGTGATAAAGGTGAAGAATTTGCTCGTGCTTGTGCATATTTTATTGAAGATCAATCACAAGCATTAAAATTAATTAAAAAAAAAGAACAATCACCAGATTTTGCAGCACTTATGCGAGTACGTTTTAATTTTTATTCAAAAGAGGAAAAAAAAAAAGATATTTGAATGAGAATTTTTCTTTTTGTTTTTTTGAAAGATGTGTGAGTCTAATCCATTATGTCGTCGTTTAACATTAAAAGATTATTTACCATCTGTTATGACACGTTTTACCAAATATAAAATGTTATTTGAAGCAATGAAAAAATTTGCCTCAGAAGATCGTATCGAATCAGAAAAATTAACTCGATGTATTGAATGTGCTGATAAAATATTAAAACGTATGAATGAAGCACGTTTAAAAAAAGAACAAGAAGCATTATTAAAACAAATTAAATCAAATCTTGATATACAAATACCAAATGATGAAAAATTACAAAATCTTCAAGTAAAAATAGAAAAAGAATGCCTTTTTTTTTTTTAAATTTCTTCTTTTTTTCCTTTTCGTTAGGATTGTCTTGAACCAGCCAACAATCGTTTAATTTATTCCGGTATATTAAAATTATTACCTGATGCAACAACACAAAAAGCGGAATTTGAATGTTGTCTTTTTAATGATATATTTGTTTTTTTTCAAAAAATTCCTATACAATCATTAGAACAACGCGGCATCGAAGAAACATATAAATATGTTTTAAAAGAACATCAACGTGATGCTACTAGTGGACGTAATCAACGACCACGTACAGCTGTTAATCCTAATAAATATCCAAGTGGACAAAATTTTATTTTAACACCTATTATACGACTTGAACATTTATTAATTAAGAAAAAAGCATGTGGAGGTAATTAAAAAAAAAAGATTATTTAGTAACTCTTCCCAAGAATAGCAGGTTATTCCATTAGAAGAATTTTACAAAGCGTTTTACAAGACTAAAGTTTTGTTCAAAATCCTTTTCCTGAAGTTCAGCGAGTTTGGAAAGTTGTATCATCTAAAACCATGATTCTGTGACACTTAGTTGCAAATATCATCTATTTAAATAGCAGAGAAGTTTTTCGAAAAAAACTTTGATTTTCTACGTAAATGTTAGCAAAATATTAACTCTTAATAGAAGATTATCATTGAAAGAGCGATGTGAATTTTCATAATAGAATCCTACTAGTCACTGAGATGATCATTTGTAGATTAATTACAAAAACTAAACAATGTATAAAATCAGGGCTTCTTATGTTGTTCAATCTCTCTTTTCTATAACATGATCATGGGAATAATCAATATGAATCTGCATCAAGAGCGAGACACCTAGTGCATGTGACCACACCAGTGGCATATTAGAGAGAATGATACTTTATTTATAAGATTATTCGATCCATAGCACTTCTGGAACCTTGTGAGGGATAAAAGTTTAATCAAATATTTAACAAAGAACATTTATATGCATATGATCAGATTTCTGTCTAATACTGCCTCATCTTAAAAAAAATTATAAAATAAATGTGGAAATCTCGGATTTATATCCGAGAGTTATGTGTACTTCAAAAAGTGAATGAGACAAATCGGTCATCCTAGAATGTCTGGATATAAAAATTTGCGTGGCAAACCTTTTCTATAAACCCTTGAATTCCATTGCCTACCGTTCAACCGTAGGACTTAGGAGCGTATAGACCTCAAATTTCACCTGTTCGGCTTTATTTAGCCTGAGAAAGTCGTTTTTCCTATAACATGATTTCTATTGGTCAATACTCAATCAACGGGGCTTCGAGCCAAGTTTAGTGCAGATTCTAGTTCTCCGCCCCAGAAAACCTTCGATTATCATCTCTATGGTCGAAAGATAGAGCTCTAATTGGTGATCAATTAGAGCGTGCACAAAAACAGAACCGATTCTTCCCTATTTATCTTTGCGAGGGGAGAGATAATCTTTCTGTTTCCTCATGTTTTATATATCATTTTGTAGCTCTTGAAATTCTCTATCGAATAGTATATAATAGTTGGGGTTTCAATTGACTATGATAGGAAAAGTCTTTTACGAAAGCGGCGATGGGTAGATTTTTCCATAGGAAGCTATAGGGGAAAATGGGTATTTTTGCAATAACTCAGGAATGGCTCAGCCGATCCTTCTCATCTTCGAACTCGACCGAGATATTGTAAAAACTGAACTGTATAGAAAATTTCATCTTGATCGGACTCTCCTTTCGAAAGTTATCGTGTAAACGGCCGGACAACCGGACATACTGACCGATTCTAGAATGTACTCACTTTTTGAATACACAAAAAGAACATGATCCGAGATAGTGATTTATACAGATATTAACCTATGGATAAATATTCTTTGATTAATTATACCAAGTATTATTTTTCATGGTTCCTTAACCAGATATATAGGAAATTCCCTGATATTTTTGATATGATTTTAAAATGCATCGTTCTTGTATACATTAAAAGCTAATTTTTTAGAACTTTATGCACTAAGTCAATAGAAAATTATAACAAAGCTTAACGCATTCACGGCGATGGGTCCCACCATATTTTAGCAAGAAACTGAATAGAAAAAATACTTTTTTCCCCTTTTTTTGTTAGGTAGGAGGTGGATGTGTATTGTGGGTATGGATGTGGATGAAGGTGTGCGTGTGAGGTGTGGCTGTTTACTCTTCTGGGTTCAACACCTACACCCGCATTAGCGATTAATTTTATAATGATTTTAAAACACTTGAAGCATTCTTTATAGTCTAGACTGATTTTCATCAATCGTTAGAGTTTTCTAATGTGTTCGAGAACGGATAGCTTCAATCTAGATTTTATTATCAAGTTTTTTTTTAGCAAACTGTATCTCTTGTAAATAATTGAACAGGGAAGTTTCCATTATTCCTACGTAAATATATCATTACATTAGTGTAATTTTGAATGAACATAAATTAAACTTGAAAGACAAATATTCCTTAATAAAAATCTTCATAGCAAACTCTCAAATCCTTCGTAGTGCTTGTAGAAAACATTTTATCGTTGATGAAAGTTAAAAAGATTCCTTCTATATATTCATCAGAAGAAAATTCTTTTATCAAATGTATTTTTGCAGAGGAAGTAGTTTTTATTATGTATTCATTTGCAAGTGTAGTCCATTAACTCGAACACAAAGTGCATTAGTGATTTACTCTAAAAAGCAGTTAGCATAAGAGTTAACAATTTCTAAATTGCTTGCTTGTTTGTATTGCCTTCGAAATGGTGTCTGTTTCGATATTCATAAATAATCACTAACGTTTTAAACACAAATATATGATTGTTGTATAAATTAATTTTCTCTTTTTTTTATCTATTGTCATGTTGTACAAGGATTTGTCTCGACAATATATTGTTTCTTTTTTTTCTAATTTTAGGTGCTCGTTCTTTTTATGTCATTGATACAGATAAAAAACAATTAATTGAAGTCGAAGCTAATTCAAAAGATGATCTTGAAAAGTATTTAATTTTATTTGATTTTCTCTATGTAATTTTATTTTCCTGCATTCAATCTAGATGGTTAGAATGGATTGAAAAGGCTCGACAACCATTTGAAAAAGCAAAATCTTTTCCATATTCTTCAAAAGAAAAGAGTCTACATTCATCTTCATCAACATTAACAATTCAGTAAAACAAAAGAATAAATCGTTTTGTTATTATTCTTAAATTTTACTTCATTATTTGATATAGATCAACGATTAGTGAAGAACAACCAAATATTCAAACAATTGAATCAAATGAAAAAGATACACCGGAATCTATATTCAATTCAATAATGACAACTGATACAGAAATAAAACGTTTATTACATGAAAAACAAATGCTTCTATCACGTCTTCTGAACATTCCTCAAGATACATCAAGTTTTTCTTTACATACTATGAAACCAAATACATCATTAGAAGCAGTTACATATGCAACTAGTTATCGTAAATATTTCATAAATAATCATTCTATGATTTAATTTATTTATTTAGATAATCAATTAATGCAAATAATTAATCAAATACCAAATGAAATAGATAAAACTATTGACATACAATCTATTTCAGCACCTTTAATCAAACTTGGCGAACAATTGACATTAACTTTAGTATATAGAAAAAAAAAACAAATTCTGAATTGTTATGTGTGTTATTAATTATTTTCATTTCAGAAATTGTTAAGTCAAGATTCAAAGAAAACAGATAATGAAAATTTAGTATATCGAAGAAATAGTAGTTCATTTAATGCAACACCATCAAGTATATAAATATTAATAAACAAAAAAAAAGAAACAATTTTTAAAATTAAATAATTTCTCTATTTTTAGTGAATACTGATTCATCTCAAACATATTCTGATTTATCAATATCATCTCTTCATTCATCAAAATCACTTGGTTCAGTAGTCAATTCGTATCAACAACAACAACCACAGCAACAGCAATCATCAATTACTGATTTAGATGAAGCAGTTAAATCAACACCATTAAAAGAATTACAAGTTGCTCGAGATATTGTTGAACGTTATGATGAAGGAGTATTTGATGATGGTGCTGGAAGTCAAACTGAAGAAGATGAAAATAACAGTGTAGTTATTGCTGATAGTGATGATGAAGATGAAATTGAACATTTTGATTCAACCGATTGTATTATGACAAATATTGATAATAATCAACAACAAGTAAATAATGATTATTTGGTATGTTCTGAAAATAATCAAAATGATCGAAAGAATTCAAATAATACATCCAGAGAAGGTAAAACAATTAATTTCGGTAATGGTTAGTTTACTAAAAACACATTTTTTTAATCATTTCTCTTCTTCTTGAGTATGAAAATCAGTTGGAATTTTGACATGTTTAAAATTTTATCTCATGCAAAGAAACAGTTCGTTGAAGCTTTTCTATTAGAATAGATATACATGACTTTTATCTGAATGCTAGTCTCGGATTGTTCACAAGTGCCATATTGATTTTGAATTTTCTGTAAGAATTATGCATGGATTTTTTTTACGTAAAAATTGAATTCATTTATTTTTAGAATGAGTTTTATATACAGAGAGGTCCATAAGTAACTAGACGATAAAAGTACTCAATTTGTCGAATTGGTTTTTTTCTTCGCGAAATAAGAGTGACAAAATTTTTATTCAGAAGAAAATTGTCAAATACTTTTTTGTGTAGAACTATCACTATTAAACTCAATAAAGAAATATACGACTGGTTGAAAGTATCTACCTTCGATTTTTATCATTCTTACGGCTAAACATGTGAAAGTTTTATCGTATATACTATCTTAAAAATGTAGGTAAATAAGGCCAATCAACTTTCGATCACTCCAGTTGACAAGAAGCTCTGACGTATAATAGCTCTTCTCACAAGGAGTTCTTTCACTTCAGAAGGAAAGAATCTTAGAACCTAGTCAAGCTATCATTATGTGAAATATCCGTATTAAACAATTGCATAATGATAGGTGCGTTGAGTCATGAGCTTCTTGCTTTTTTGAATTATAGTACTCATAATTAGAAGGGTAGACAAAGATTATAAATCCTCTTCAATTTCAGCGAATGAAACTTGACTGGTCTCATTAACATACATCTCTAAGATACTATATAGACTAAAAACTTCACATGTATAAATTCAGGAATGGCTGAGATCTTAGCTTGAATTACTTTTGGTCAAAAGGGTGTGGTGTGAGTGTTGATGAACTTGACAGAATCTGTTTGTTTTCGAAACCTTGATATTTCGATCCGTGCGCATCTTTCGTATATGCCTTAAAATAGAAACAACTAAAAGATCTGTTATTTTCACAACAAAGTATTTTTCTTCATGCCTATGTCTGTAGGAAGTTCGAATTTAAAAATTCGAAAATCAATTCTTCTAGTATTTCTAAGCGAGATGATGTCATTCTACTAAAAAAATATCATATGTATACAATACGTCGATAGCAATAAGTTAAGAGTTTGAATATAGTTTTCGCATGCTAGTTTTCCACATTTATAGAATTGATTAAGAAAATAATATTTCCATGTAGTACTTATCAATACAATGTATGCATCACTACCATCCAATTGAAAATAATCTCATCGATTAGCATATTTTTAATCTTATTTGCATGAGCTGATATAATATTTTCTACTCTGATTATTCTTTGATGCTAACTTTAAACAGATAGACAAGTGTTTTTAAAACATATCTTTTTTGTTGTTTAGACTTATACGATCAAGAAGTGCACGACAATATAAAAGTCAATGATAACGGATTACGTAAAACCAGCGAAGCGTGAATCATGTCAAACAATAACATTTTATTTATTATTCTTTGGTGCTTTTTTTCCTTTCGTTTTAAATTATCTGCGCACTGATCAATCACTATAATTTGATAATCTATGGAATGCACATTGTTCGCTTGTTTTTTATACGCTTTTTAACAAAATTCTCTTTATTTATTTCGTATTATACAAACAATTTTAAGTTCAATTCATGTCCGTTGAGCTCATATTCAGATGAATAAAAAATAAATAAAATTGTGTGCTATATCGACTGTCTTATTTCTATATTGATGCATCAAAACATATTCTTAGAGAAAAATTCATCATGTTCTTATGCGTTCGCTTCTTTTTTGTGTATAGTTCTTTTTCTATCTGTCGCTCTCTTTTCTTTTTCTTGCAACAAATCATTCTTGTGCGAGTGGTCGCACTCTCTGTGCACATACGGTGTGTGTGAGGATGTTTTTTTTTTGTTCAAATGATGGATGATGATTATGTTTTTTCTTTCTTAAAAAATATATATTTTTGCTTGTTGTTACCTTTCAACTTTTCATAAACAATGAGAAATTCATAAATGATAAGTCAGCTATTATTTGTGATAGTTGTTTAACTGAAACTCGTCATTTTACACAAGGACAGTCGGTTGAATGATGAAAACAAGATAGATTTGTTTTTAGATGAATATGATGAGGAATTATGGCATGCAATATTATGTATCAAAGTGATTGTGAGTGAGCATCTATATGATTGATATTTAGTGAATGTAGGTTCATCTACGTTTGAGCAATTTTTCGTTAATTTCACAAACTAAATTCTCAATGTTATAATATTGATAGTTTTGATAATAAATGAGAAACTTTGACAACTGACTTTGACTTCATGCTCATCAAACGTAATTTCATCAAACTTTACCTTAAGTATAAAGTTATGAGACAACCGTTTGAAGTTACTATCGAATCGTTGTATCCATTTTCCATCTTTTTCAGTAATTATCAAGCGATTTTTGATACCTTTCACTGCCATACGTGTGGCAAAACCGATGTCGACCTCCTTCACAAATTCGTCACCATATTCACCATGAATCTAACCACAATCAGAAAAAGAATGACTATTAGGAGAGTTTAATATCCAAGTTCAATCTATAAACTTTCTCAGTCGTTTTTGACTCATTGAATACTGCTATAGCTTGCAATATGTTTAAATCTACCAGTATGAGTGTTAGCTAAAAACAACATCTCGCGTTTCATATTTTCGAGTCAAAATGAACGTGATTAATCGGATATACTTAATTGTTAACAATTCTTCCTTTTCAATCCATATTGAAAATATCCAACAATCAATGTTCAACTGAAAACGTCTATGAATCTAACTATTTCTCAACTTTTAATAAAAGGCTTCAAATCCAGCAAATCGAATCCATGTAATATGAATCAATTGGCGGATACATCTGCAGTGTGTGGTATCTGGGTGAACATGTGAGAGAAACATCATTGGCACATTCTTCTAAAGTAAAGGCGACGAAGAGATTGAATAGTAGGTTGTAGTGAGAATGACGGCGTCTCGTTTAAAAGAGCTAATATGGCTCTTCAAATTCTATTGACTTTGGCAAATCGAACATTTCGTTTAATAATTGAATTTATTTCAATTAATGAACACTATGTCTAATAAAAAGTATTTTCGCTCTGGAAATCTCATCAAGATAATCCATTTCGAAAAAACATTCATAGAAAATTTTTCAATTTTTATTGCTTTTTCATATGACCTACATAGAAGTCAAAAACGAATAAAAATTTCATTAACTAAACACTAATTATTAATAGCTACTAATTAATTAGTTATTAATTAATTTTCCAACATAAGAACAATTAATTTTCACCAAAAGGCAACTCATTGAATTCTTCTTCAAATAGTATATAAAACAATTCCAAACTATCGTAAAATAATGAAAAAACCAGCTAGATACTAAGAAGGTGCTAAACTTTTTTCCGTTACGTTAGGTACATGATTGCTCAAGAACATCGATATAGTCCACTCTGTTATGTTTATTTCATATATTCTATTCAAAGTCCACGAAATTTAAAAACAGTTGAAAATATCAGTCTTTTCAATCAGTAACGTGTCTAAGAAAACTTAAATTTTTTATTTCTAACATTATCATCGACATTAACTCGACAATGATTAGTAGGTATTCTCGCAAAGATGAAACTTTATGAATTGTTACTATTGTATCTTTAGACAATTCTTAAATTGTTTCTTCAAATATTTTCAAACAACAACAAACGCATACCGATAAAACATTATCGATAAATAATAATTTATAAAATTTATATTGAAAACGGAAACCAGTTCATCGAAAACTAATAAAAGAATATTCATAGTAACAAAAGCACTATTAAAACATGTTTCTGAATACGATTGAATACTATGGAACACTTTATATTGTTGATGACGCTTAGTCATACAAGATACAATTGTCCGAATATTCGAAAACACTTGTTGCGCCATATCACAATTCACTTTAATTTCATCGACTTTTTTTTTGTTGTAAATGTGTGCTTCAGCTGTTTATTGATATTGTTGATGGAATATCCAATTGTAGACCATAAATCTTTGAAGGTTGATTTCATACGATTTTCATTATCTGTAACCACCATTGTGTGATTATCCAATATTAAACAATATTCAATTAATTTAGCATCAACGGATTGTCGACTAGCACTATTATTTTTTCGATCATATGAATAACAACCAAGAATAAAATTTTGCAACCATCATTGCAAATTCATATGACAAAGTGTAATGCCATGGAAATGAATTCCTAGAATAAATATGAAGTACCAGTTTTAATCTACATTCTGTATATTCAGGTTCCATTTTTATTATTAAAACTGACATAAGTGATTTAAAAATGATACCTTATTCGAATAGGATCCCGTCGAGAAGTCTGCAAGCATTGTATTCCACTCCATAACCTTACAAAGACTAATTAATTAAGATTTCCTGTAGCTAAACATTCTGTTGACATTTAGACTGATCTCAAAAAATTTGAAATCATTTATGCCAGCTTGATTTATCAACGGTCTTATCTACTACCGTGAAAGTTTGGTGAGACATCTACAATATTAGCATTCGACATATTGCATATATTTTTACCAGCATCAAATATTGCTTGAGCTGAATTCACAAAAAAATACCATTACATAAGGAATGCAATGAATGATGATCCGAAACACCAAATTCAGTGCATACAAAAGTAATTTTTTTATTTATTTTTCTTGAAACTGGTAATGATATTGTATTACTGAAATATCTGTTTATATTTTTATGTCTATTACTGTAATTCACAACTGTTGCACACGGTTTCTGGTGGTTTATCATACTGCTAGTACCATTTGATATGTATGGCATAAAACATCTTTGCAGTTATCGCAAGATACATATTGCTGTTTATGATTCTTTTGTTATCTGTAACTGACGTTTGTCCAGATTTGTGATGATGTTGATGGAGATTTTACAAATGTT